GAAGCTGTCGTCGGTTACGCAACTTACGCAACTTACGCAGCTTACGCAACTTACGCAGCTTTCGTTGGATCGATACGTATGTATTATTCACGAACCAGTCGCAGCTTACGCAACTTACGCAGCTTTCGTCGACGTTGACGACGACGTCGCACGGTATGAACGCGGCCTTAGAATGATCTTCAGTAGCGTTCGAACCTCAATGCAACGATGGCAGCAAGATAATCGGCAAGCCAAAGAGGATCCACGAAGATCAGCTGTCTTAAGGCAGCATCCTCGAAGTGAACAATTTCGCCGCTATCATGTAGAAATCCACAAACGCCGCGAAATTCAATGTCATCTCTATAAGTAGCAGGTTTAGAGGCACTTGATACAGTATCAAGGTGGCAGCTCAGGAACGTCCACTCTACTGACCAGGTATGTGAACCGCGCTTACACATGCATAAGCCAAAAGAAGGGCGTGGTCGGACGAGTTCCCACTTGCACTTGTTGGTGCCGTCTCAAGACACTTGTCAACCATGGAGCCTATCTCTTCTTCCCTTTCTCCTCACTCCTTCTTTTCCTTCCTTTTCTCTCTCTTCCCTCCTCCTTTTCCTTCTCCCTTCAACTGCTGGGCCAGTAGATGCGATGAGAAAATACCTCTAGACCCTTTCAGTGAGAGCGTGTTCGGTTGACAAGAGTCCTGTAATCAAATCAAAGCGAGGTGTGAATAAAAAAATACCTAAATGTTCTTCCAAACTTAGAAACCATTCCGTTGTTTTGTCCGATCGCGAAATTGCTCGGCTGTCATTATCGCCGATGTTGTATCCCTTCGTAATTCAAGCATGCAATTCGCGGACCACCTAAAGCTCGTAGAGCTCACCAATAAAAAAACCAGTGCGAAAATGTATAAGCTAGAAGTTCGCTCTTTTAAAATGCAGAACAAGCACAACATAGTCAAGATTTCAAAACTGCTGCTAACTTTTAACATTGCTATGTAGGCGGATGGAATTTGCTGATCTAGTGCACGTTCCTTGCCAATTCTGACTTCCCAACCAGAGGTGTAGATCACATTCAAAAGGTTCTGAAAGCAACCGTCAATTGAGATAAATTATTCTTTGGATAAGATTTGAACGAAAATTGAAATTTTAAAGAAATTGCTGGTATGTAGTGAAGAAATCCAAGAAGTTCACCTTGATATCACTTTTTGCTTTGCCATTAACCAAAACCAGGTCAAGAACACGGGGTAAGCCGTGCTTGTCTGCATCAACAATCATGAACCGCGACCGAATCTCAAACGAAGAATTGTTATTGGAAAGAATGGGATTTTCGCAATGTTTTCATGAATTCTTTTACTTTGCTCTCCATTTCTTCAAGAAAGCCGTGAGAGAACTTTGTTGGATTTGAGGAGATTTGATCGGTGTGAGTTCCAACCAAAACGACACATGAGTTTGGAGCTCGAGCCTGTAAGATACAGATATAGTTTGAAAGAACGGCTTTTTAGGAGTACGCTCAGGAAGCCTA